TGCCCTACAATATAGATAGACAAGTACGTAATGCAAACCACAACATCCAGGAATACACGCCAGAGACGCTCGCCAAGTACGAGCAGAGTGGGAGCTGCAAGCCAGTAACCGAACATTGGCCATTGGAGAAGGCCAGCAGTCCCGTGTGCCATCATCAAGCCAATAATAGGAAACATCAATAGATGGCCGAGTTGGAACACTTCATAGCTCCACTTCCGTATCTTCGGCATGCTCATGAGCGCGAGTAAGTAGAAAAGGCTAAGTGCCATAAGCCCAGTCCAGCCAGGCAATGAGTGAACGTAGTCGCCGTACGAGCGGGGAACCCCATCCTGTCCAACAACAATGGCAAGCGCTTGCTGTCTACCTCTCTGGCTTCCAAAGACGAATGAGCCACCCAAGTGACCGATGGCGTGAATTGTCGCAAAGACCAATGCAATGACAGACATCTTGATATGGAATGACTGGGACAGATCCCAGTTGATAAATCGTGAAACGAAGTAGAAACGGCGAAGGAATGTCGACAGCCACCTGGACATGGAGATGATGAGGAAGAAGAATGTCGGATAGAGTACACCAGCGCATGTCTTTGACAGCACGGCACCCCATCCGAATGCAGGCGTGTATAGATCGGACGTGAGGTACTTGACGAATTGCCTATGCCATGAAAATGACGGAAATCAGTCCATGATTTGCGTTCCAAATCAATGTAGTATATCTCACCAAACCCCAAATGCAATCATAAATCCCAGCACAAGCGCGAGGAAAGCAATCTCTGGTCCTTTGACCGCCCAGTACGCACGTGCTCGCCTGTAAAAAGACATTTGCTTGAGGTAATCATCCTCCTCCTTTGCTTCTTTCCGATCTTGCTCCAGTGATGGGATCTCCCATCTCTTCACACACTTTGCGAAGTCATCGCGCTTGATGTGGTCCTCGCGCGTCCCGATGACACTTCTCAAGAAGTCATGTCGTTGTTCGTCGCTTCGTGAGACGTGGTGGAGATTGTGCGGTTGTGCTCTGGGCTGAATCTCCTTGTGCACCTCATCTAGCTTCTTCTCCAACTCCCAATAATCAACGCTGCCATTATTATCGTGATCCAAGTCGTCAATGAATTGCTTTATTTCGTCATCTGTAAGATACTGTTGGGGAGCCATCAAACCGTAGGGATGGTCAGTGAGATTGACTGAGAAGTATCCGAGCCTACCTCACGCGTGGCGCACATATCACCTTTAACAAGGCTCCGATCAGTTCACTTCCGTGACACTTTACAGAAGACATACGTGCGCCCAGACATCACTGTTGGCAGGCTCGTCCAAAGCAGTTTAGTGTAATCCAGAGAAAGGTCTTGATGGATTAGCCAAGTGATTAAGAGAGCTCAGGCCGAAATTGGCACCGGGTAGAGTGTACCTTGTTGCCAATCTAGCGGAGCGGACTTTTGATAGCATACTTTACTTCAACTCGGCCATGTTTCTGACCTCCCATGTCTGCCAGCCAAGAATTCCGCCCCGTACAGACACATGCATCATTTAGCGAATTATACTTCGTGATAGCAGTCGAGTGGCACTGCAAAAGTTCTCGGAAACTCAGCCTTGGTAAGATCACTAGAAATTGTACTCATTGTGTTGAATTCGATAGGCATAGGAGAAGACAAAACCTAGTTGTTTAATGTCAAGAAGCTGGCGGGCTTGGCATGGATAGAACGGCAACGTCATTCCATCAACAACTTTTGTTGACGCAAACTGCTGACAACAATCAACACAACAGCAATTCTTGTAAATACAAGCATTGAGCTACACAGCCCGCTTCTATCCAACATGAAGGTTCCCATTTCCACGCACACCGTGATCGAGTTCGTCTTCAAGTTAGCGCCCAGATCCTGTCGTCCTAATCCGGCGCCTCGCCGTCATCGACCGCGATGGTGACCGAATGGATGTAAGGGTCGATCGAAATACTGCCCTTTCATTTTTCAATGGATACTTGTTGACGCTTACTACTGTGGCTGAATGTGCAAGTTAGCAGCTTCGTAGTTCCCTCAGGGGACAGAAGCTACATCCTTGCGCGACCCTATACTGACTTTTCACGTTTCGTGCGTCGATGTTATGGCAGCCGAAACAGCCAACGGAGGCTCGTCCATAGTACTCACTCGCCGTGATGACCGCTCTCTACTCATGTCCGTGGTGCTCTTCCTCATTCGCCGATTTCGCAACCAGATAAACAAAGGCGGCCCCGAGCACGAAGATGGCTCGCCCAAGCTCGATCCCCCGTTATCCAAGCTGAATGGCTGTACTTTTCGCGAACGTTCCGTGTGCGACATTCGTATATACGACTATGTGCTCTCTAGCAAAGTTACGCAGAGTCCGAAAAAGCGAATTTACTATTTCGCAGGCGGAAGTTGGCAGCAGCCGCCAACGGGCCAACACTACACCATGTGTGCAATGATAGCAAAGGAAATGCCAGATGCGGTTTTGTCAATCGTCTCGATGCCGCTTGCGCCAAACAATCCTGCACCGAGCTCTTTCCCATGGTGCATGAGGTTGTATCGCACACTCATGGCCGAAGCCAAAGCGTCTGGAGAGAGAGTCATCATGGCTGGTGATTCCTCTGGGGCCAACGTTGTTTTATGTCTGCCGCTAGAGGCTCTAAGGGAGGACAAGGAGGCCGGACTGGACTTGAAGGAGACAGCAGCTCCAGTCGCCATCATGACCATCTCGCCTTCCACCGATCTGACGCGCAACAACCCTGAAATCAAGAAGATGGCGCATAGAGATCCACTCCTCACACCGGAAGTCATCAGGGGGACTGCGACTGCCTGGTGTGGCGACTGGGATCCCGCAGACAAGCGGATATCACCTCTGCATGGCGACATTTCATTGCTTGCTAGTCGAGGCATCAAGGTCCATGGCATTACCGCAGGGTGCGATGTGTTGAGTCCGGATGGCGTACGGTTTCGCGAAAGATGTGCCGAGGAGGGTGTGCAGGGTGAATGGGTACATTGGGAGAATCAGATGCACTGCTTCGTTCTGATGGTATCCTACGGAATGCAAGAGGCCAAGGATGGCGTACAATGGATCATTGCGACGCTCAAGAGGGAGTAGGAGTAGGAGTTGGATGCGAGAATGGTGCAGTGTTCTGTTTGTGTTACCGGCTGACCGGACATTCTATACCCTCATGCATGACTTGGATGAACAATGTAATGTAACTGTTTCTCACCTTCTCTCAAGTCTATTGTGGACCGAAAAGTACATATCTCCTCACCCTTACAAACCGTCAACCATAGCCCATATCGTTACATCCCAGCACAGCCACACCCCAGCACTCCGCCACACAAACGCCATCGGGCCAATCACACCACCCCACTACATCCACGTACAACGCATCCTGCATCCGGCAGGCCACCAAGCGAGTGCCGGGAACGGCACCGGTTAGACATAATGGGAAAGACGTATAAAAAGGGCAAAACCCCATAAACTCCCCGCGCAGAATTCCGGCATTCATCCAGCCAGGAAAGCAGGAAGGCGAAGAAAGCAAAAAAAAAAAAAAGCAAAACAAAAGACAGCGGTACCAAATCGACCAACGAGCCCAAACCCAGAAAGACCATTGCACAAAACAACACGCGAGCAAACGAACCCCAACCTCGGTAGTAAAAAAACCCCCAAAGAACATATACCTCGCAACCTGGAAGCCGACCGAGATGATAAAAACTATTTTCCTAATCATCCTCACAGTCTTGAGTGCGTCCTTGCTCGCCTTTGCTCCCTCGTTTCCCCTCTAACTCAGCACACAGTTCCCCCCCTAGCCGTGCTCCTCATCTCCGGGTGCTCCGTCGACCTCGTGCTCAACGTCCTGCTCACGTTCCTGGGGTACCTGCCAGGCCACCTGCACGCCTTCTACCTCGAATACGTGTATATCAAGCGGCGGGATGAGCGGCGGGCTGGGGTGTTGGATGCGGGGCCTGTGCCGGGGGTGTTTAGTGGGAGGGTGTTGAGGGGGGGTGGGAAGAGGGGTGCAGTGGGGAGGGTTGGGGGGGTGCCGGCTGGGGGGATGCAAGGGCCGGTAGGGCAAGGGCCGGCGGTGCAAGTTCCAGTAGGGCAAGGTCCGGTAGCCCAGGTTCCGGTAGGGCAGAGGGGGTATGGGACTGTGAGATAAAGGGAAGACGGAGGAAGAGGGAGGGAGTGACCGAGTGAGGCAAGTAAGAGGCGAGAACTAAGGTGATGGCGTTAGTAAAGTACAGGTTATACAAACCCATCTATACACTAGCTTGGCCGTACAATACCTACCACGCTCGAAATCAAGCGCCAACACATCCAATCCCACCCCTTATCCCATCTTTGGACAAAAGTTGGGGGCAGATGGTGATTGCGAGTCCTGGTTGTAGTTTTGACAGAATGTATAATGTTTCAAAGGAGGAAGAGGGTGTACATGTGCCATTTGATTTTCACTTGCCCTTCATGTCAATGTATCGTACATTATTCTTTTGTACAAACGAGTCCTCCGCTCCCAGAAGCAAGCCATATACCTACACCCCCATGCTAAACGCAAGTACACCCGCAAACCCAACCCCAATCAAACCTCTACCTCTTCTTGCCCCTGCCCTTGCCCTTCTTACCACCGCCCAGCATGGCCGCCTTGGCCGCATCTCCCTTTTTTCCCTTCTGCCCCTCCGCCGTACCCAGCGCAGCCTTCTGCCTCAGATACACCCTGACCACATTCTCCACACTGCCGCGATCATGCTTAACGGTGCGCATATAGGTGAGGCGCGCCCGCCTTGCCCGCCTCGTCGCCCGCTGCACCACCTCGATGCCCTCGACCAGCGGGCTGTAGATCTTGTACCACATCTCCACGCCGACGCGTGTCAATTGGCCGCGTAGGAGGATGGCGGTGTCGACGCCGCGGCGGCGAATGTTGATGCAGACGCCTGCGAAGGGGTCGCCTGTGCGTTGGCGCACGAGAAGGATGTCGCCCACGCGAGCGCATTCCGGGTTGGCTTTTGAAAAGAGGCGGGTGCGGGCGCCGGTGGGGTCGAGGATGCTGGTTTGAGAGGCGGTGACGGCGGCGATGGGGTCTGGGCAGGTCTTCTTGATGTTGAGGGCGGGGGGTTGGAAGATGGGGATGCCGAATTGGCGGCCTGGGGGTGGGGAGGGTCAGTCCATTGAACATGTTTGTGTGTCTTGGAGGGAGGCAAAGAGGAAGGATAGCAATGGACAAGGAGCACAGAGGATCAGGGATATCAAACAGGCAAGAATAAACACAAACAAAAAAGCAAAAACCCTCACTCACTCTGATTCCGCTTAACCCCCCCCTTCCCCATCGTCCCCTCCCACTTCCCGTCAATCTTCTTCCAACCCTTCGAAAACCGAGTCGGATGTCTAAACGCCCTCGGCAAAATCTTCTTGGCATAGGCTTCCGGGTACAGCGCCATGCTCATCCGATCAACCACATTCTTGGTGTCCTTGTCCGGACGCGAGGGTGCGTGGGGTCGAGGCACATGTGGTGCTGGGACGGACGTGTCGGCGACGGCGGCGACGGCCTCGGTGCTGGCGAATCGTTTACATGGTCGAGTGCGGAGGGCGAGGCGCTGGAGCGTGGTCCGCGTGCAGGGGAGGGTGGAGGACATTGGGGCGTGTGTGTGGGTTGTTGGTTGTGGGGTTGGTGGTGGTGTCGTAGGTCTGAGGTTCCAGAAAAAATGGGATTAGGTAAGCATACGCACTTCCCCACCCCCAATCTCGCGAGACGAGGTTGCATGACGCACGACACAGAGTACAATCTCGAGCTACTAAGTTTTTTCCAATCAGATACATCATGGAAGCAAGACGGTTATAATTTCATGAGGCTATCAAGCTCTAGATCTGACTTGATACCAGTCACAGATTTCGCTACACAAGCATTTGCCCGTGATATGCTCGCTCGCATGTATGTACCTTGTAGGGAAATAGATTGAAATGCACGCTCCCAGACGGAGTATTTTGAGAGAAAGAAAGAAGCAAATCTGAATTTTTTGGTAAATGCAAATCGCCACCACCGAGGTATTCCGCAATGCATTCGCCCATGCTGCAAGAGGCAGCCCAAACACCGTGTTTGCATGTAAAAATGGCCCCTAGGTTTGATTCGCCGAACGGGCCTGAAGAGGAGATGACCGCTGGATCCATTTTTAAGGAGACAATTCCGCGGCGCTAAGAAAGAGTCCAAACTTTGTTCTAGCTATAATGCTTCGCATGAAGAAGGGAGAAGAGAGACAGGGAATGATGACCAGACGCCGCCGTTATGCTGCTATGTGTGTCCGACGCCGATGGAGAAACGGATGAGAAGGACATGGTTCGAACCAGAAGGAGCTACTATAATCGGGCCTGATTGAGCTGCTCGCTCAGACCCATGATAACGCCGGGATAGTGGAAAACGTCGCCCTGCAAGAGAAGGCCAGAAGTCAGCAGTTGACTTGTTCGAAATCGATTTCGACATCTCGCCGTGGTGTCTCTACCTCTTCCATCCAGGTCAAGCCGTTGGCGGCCTCTTCGACGGGAAACACCTCCTGCGCATATTCCTCCATGGAGCGAAACCCCTCCCAGAGCTCCAAAGCCACGCTTGGGAAGTCGGGCTCGAGATCCGGACCAAAGTAAGGAGCGCCCAGTTCGCCCAACGTGTAGCCCAAGGCGGACAAGTGCTCCCGGTAGCCTATAGGTGTCGGAACGTTGATCACTATGGGGCCCCGCTTGTAGCGGACGGGCCGTCCTAGACCGCGGCTGAAGGATTGACAGACTTCTTTTGGGGTCAGCGACTGGAAGGCCAGAGGGATCCTACCATTGTCAGTACGTAATCTCGGCTGCCACGTGGGCTTCAGCGCTGGCGCGACGTGGCCATGGCCAGAAGGGGGCGACAAGGACAGGAAAATTTCAACGAGAGAGAGGGCGGTATGTAGTCATCGAAATCGAATGATGGTGGGGAATACATGCTTGGTGTGGAGCAGCATATGCAACGCTTACCGTTTGCCGTTCCACTTCCGTGGGCCTTCCTTGAACAGTTGGATGATGGCCGGTCCTATGTCGTGTTCCGAATCCAGCCAAGGAAGGGGTTGGTTTGGGTTGAAGGGTGCTTGCCAGACAAAACTCCCGTCGGGTTGATGCTCCATGCGAAAGAGGGGAAAGTCGAGACCAGTGAAATTGTTGTGGTAGATTCCGCAGTACACAAACGTGGCCTGGAGTCCTATTTGGCGAACATACTGCTCGACTGTGAACTTGGGCGCCCATAGGGGCAGTGCTCTCCAGTTGTTGCCAAAAACCGAGTGATCGGGCATACTGGAGTAGATGTAGTGTTGGATTCCGGCCTTTTTTGCGGCGTCGGCTAACGATCGACCAATGGCAACCTCGTCTCCCCAGTGCGTGGTGTTGATGAAAGCGCACTGCGCGCTCTTGAACAAATCGTCGAGAAACTTCTTGTCCTCGAGGCGGCCAATGTAGACGGTCACGTTCTCCAGCTCGGACAGCTCTTGGGCGACTATGCCGTTCAAGTCTCGCATTTGTGCGCGAACTTGCCAACCCAGAGCGGCGGCGACACGAATGAAGCTCGCCGATTGGCGGCCATTGCTGTTGATGGTGACGACGGTCCTTTGCATTCGTAACGGTTTCAGGAAGACGAGGTGAGTGAGTGAGAGAGAGAAGATTTAGGAAATGGACCCCGAGCCCGTGTGAGTGGTTTGTAGTTTGTTTGTTACTTGTTAGGGTTGTTGCTGTTACTGTTCGTGTTGATGTTCCTATTGATGTTGACGTTGGCGTTGACGTTGACGTTGATCTGAACCGATGACTGAGAATGCGGCGACGTTTGTTGGCCACTACCAGTAGATCAAGTCAAAGCACACCAGGGGGGGGGGGGGGGGGAGTTGGGGCCGAGCCTGGTGAAGACATTGGGGAATGAAGAGATGCTGTGGCTTGTGTACGTAGTTGCTTGTTGGGACGTTTTTTCATGCTCGGAGAGGCCGTGCATGCCTGATACGGGAATAAGCGGCGCGCTGCTGGATTTGACGCCCGAGGCGCACACTACGGCCTCAATTTCGTGTGATTGCTCGTATGCTGTGTGAATCGCCGTCTCGGATAAGTGGGTGATTCGCGACGTGATGAAAGCTATGTTGTCCTGTAT